GGATTCGAACCCGCCACCTTAGGTGTATGTGGCTGGCTCCTTAGCCACTTGAGCCACAGGTGCCGAGCCTAGGCCATTTTTTTAATGCCTAATTTTAATCAAGGCAAGTCTATCATGGAAGTTATACAAGATTATTTAACTTGGCTTGGTGTCCAAAACTCAGTGAGTAGGGCACTGGCCCTATACACCGAGGTTGGCGGGTTCGAGTCTGGCCTGGGCTGCTAAACAACAATGACAGCTTCAACCAAAAAATAGCCGGGTGTTGTGACGGGTGCCTGTAGTCTCAGGTACTGGAGAGGCTGAGGCAAGAGAATCACTTAAGCCCAAGAGTTTGAGTTTGCTGTGGGCTGTGATGCCATGGCACTCTACCAAGGCGACATAATAAGACTTTCTCAAAAAAAAAAAAAAAAAAAAAACGAACCAAGATTATTTAACAGTTCTCTCCAAATTTCCATGTTCCTAGGATTCCCATTGTTTTGACATTTTTAGATATACTCTGCATGATTCTTCTACTTTATTATGACGTTGTGATCAGGTTTTGGCATTCAGGGCCTATAGACAAGGCTTTGGCTCACAGTAATTGCTAAGGAATTAAACCTCTTATGATTTAAATATATATATATGTGTGTGTGTATATATATATATATATTTGTCACACCTGTAATCTTAGCATTCTGGGAGGCTGAGGTGGGAAGTTTGTTTGAGGCCCAGAATTGGAAACCAACCGGAGCAAGAGCAAAAACCCATCTCTATAAAAAAATAGAAAAATAAGCTGCACATCCCAGCTATTGGGGAGGCTGGGGCAGGAGAATTGCTCAAGCCTAGGAGTTTGAGGTTGCATCGAGCTGTAATGATGCCACTGCCATCTAGCTGGAGTGTCAAAACAAGACTCTGTCTCCAAAACAAAGAAAAAGACAACTACGTGGGGGAAAACCTAATCAAATTATATTAATTGAGAATGGCTAATAACCTTCTTTGTTCACCTATACAATGAAAGTGTAGTCATGTATAAAGTACATTTCACTTTATGGGTGTGTCATTTATTTACCTGGTCACAAGTTTCCAGGTTTATAGGAGGATAACTGAATACTGGACATTCATTTCTTTAGACTTTATTTCAAAATGTCTTGGGAACATCATGGAGTTCTTTTAAATGCTGCCTTACTGACACCTACTTGATGAGTAACAAGAGTTTTTGAGTAACATCTACCATTTATCCAGTATTTATTATATAACAGGTCCTCTGGTAAGTGATTAGGTTCTTTCATTTAATACTCAACAAATGGGTGGTGCCTGTGGCTCAGAAGGGTAGGGTGCTAGCCCCATATGCTGGAGGTGGTGGGTTCAAACCCAGCCCTGGCCCAAAAAAAAAAAAAAAAAAACTCAACAAACCAGACACAG